AATTTGTCAGGAAGTCAATGGAAGGTATGACTTTAAAATCCAGTTTTATGATTTTTAGAGTAGACAGTGGAAAGTCTTACATGGGATGGTAAAAGTATTTTATATCTAAATCAGAGTAACTGTAGGAAGCTCCACCTCTGTCCTCCACCTACCACAGGCCAGACTTTCCCACAGGGAAGAACAACAAATAGCAAACAGGTTTTGGTTGCTTGGGAAAGCTGGACAAGAAACCTACCTCCTTAATTCCATTATTCTTAATCATTATAGTCTGCTTCTTTGCTTGATAACTGTGGGACATCCCAAAGCTTCCTGTTTCCAAGTTGCTTCCTAATAGGAATAAATACTGTAGAAATGTTTCTCCAGAAACTGCTGTTGTGATAACAAGTAGAAATTTACAGATCATTAGAAGATATATGGCAGTTTCCCAAGCTTAAAAGAAAAAGTGGGGGTTGATTCAGGAATGTCCTGCTTGTAAGTATCAGCTTTAAAACTGGAAACCAGACCTTGAAATACCAAAACTGTATTAAGAAAAGAGAGGTCACTTCAGCAATCTGTGGTTTAGACATCAAGAAATCTTGATTTGTGACACAAAGCACTACTGTTAACAGAGACAGCTCTTAGACACAGCCTGTAAGGAGATACTGCTCCTTTGTTTTCTTAAGAGGAAAATAAATCACACAGTAACCTAAAATATTTAACATATAGATCAGAATGCCAAAGTTGTAATAGAATTTCAGCAGCAGTATGCAAACCAACATGAAGACATTAGTAATTTAGTATAGATCAGCTGTTTAGAACTTCAAGAACAAATGCAAGGTTTGTTGTTGGTTTGTTTTTTTTTTTTTTTTTTTTTAGTAAACTGGACATATCAACTATATTACTTTGTCTAAACTTTCTGAATAGTAGGCACAGTGGGGTTTTGGGTAGCAATTTATTTTTTTTTTAAGATAGATAGGAAACTTTCCTCTCCCCAAGGAAGTTTCATTTATGTGCAAAACATGAAAATAAGATACTGCGGAACCTTTCTGGACAACTATAATCTCCTTTGATGGTTGTTTTATCCAGAGCACAGATGTTTGCCACTTCACCATGAAAGTTGGCTGACCTGCTCAAAGCTCAATGAAAAACAGTTGTAACAAGAAGGTTTCTCTGCAGATGGTTATTCAAACGGAAATCTTCATTTCATTCTATGCTGAAGAAAAATCCTCTGTAATGCACTACTTTTTTTTTTCTTCTTTTAAGGTTGAGAAGTATATATACTGAAATCACAGCCAAATGCTTACTATACTGATAAGAGTATAATTATAGTCAAAACAGTATTAACAACTAAATCAAGATGTAGATTATTCTTTCAGATTTCAAATTACAATAAAAAAAAAAAAACAACCAACCAAACAAACAAACCACCCTAACAAAAACCAGGAAACTGGTATTTATGGTTTGTTGTTCTGTTTTGGTTTGTTTTGTTCTTCCATTAAGTGGGCACCATATTCTATCTGCTGTTCTCCTGAGATGCATACACAATGTAATGTTATCTTGGGATAAAATATTAGGGACGGAACAGACCTGTCTGAAGAGTAGTTCTGCTGCTCAGAAGGACAGAAAAAGCATGTAAGGACAAAGGAAAGCTTTGGCAGCAGGTCATCAGACAGTGAAGCCTCACCACAGATCATCTAAGCCCATACAATGTGCCACTTATCCGTCCTCCTCATAACACTGTCATCTTTGACAAGGATAGACTTATCCTCTCTCCTAGACCGTGAAGACCAAAATCCCGTTCTTGCCCCGTGAAGAATTACATGCAGAATTCCAGTTTACCCTTAAATAGTCCCATTATAGCTGCTACAGTTACAAGGAGCTGAAAAGTAACTGAAGCAAATCACCACCAAAATCAGCTACCTACTTCCTTGAGACAATGCAGTGTTTTTAGGGGAGATGTCAGAAGGCAGTTGGCCATCTCCTCACTCCCTTTATTTTACAGGAATTTGTTCTAGGGGTGGGGTTGAATCTTTCTTCAGAAGAGACATGATTTGCTATTTTCTTAAAGAACCCCACACCAGTAACTGAAAACCTCCAGACTCCTGATAACCTCTGTACCTTCTAAATGGAGGTAAATGTCAAGAGAGCTTAAGGACAAGATAAGGCTTGTGACCTACCCAATTGTGTCTTTTTGTTTGTCTATGCACGCACACAAATGCATCCGAACATAGTTCAGGGAGGCCAAAAGCGCCGGTGAATCCCTTTGAAAGTGGCACACACAAAATGGCTGCGATAACCTCTCTGTATCTTGTTTTCATTGTACAGCTCAGATCATGGTGGTTTGGTGTATCTTTCAAAAGGTATCCCAGGGCTGACTTACCACTTTTTCAATGTCTCTGAAAGGCTGCAACATTAAACTTTCACAGCTTCACCAATGTACATTTTGATGACATTAGGCACTACATATTAACTAAACATTGAAAGGATGTTCCAAATATGAAATACCTATGGTACTGAGATTTAAAAGCCTATTGTAAAATGAATTCATCATGATTGGATTTTAAGATATTAAAAATTTTTACTCTATTAATTGCACCAGTTCTACAGCACAGAACAGTGGCATTATCCTGCCCATAATTATACAGTACTACTGTAACCTTTTTTTAACTCGACTATGTCACATTTCTGCTAGAGGGTTGATGCTTTAATAAGTGTCTTACAAGAAAAATTGCTATCAATTAATTTCTGAATGTTGATAATTAAAGCCACTATTTATGCATGATGCAGGAAAAATAAATGAACTGCAAAAGTACACAGCTTGAGTGCTATGTCATGTTGTTTATAAAGGCAGGTCTTTGGAAATACAGTACAATTATTTTCCTTCACCATTATAGAAGTCACGTCTTTGTAATTGAAAATGGATGCCAGACAAGCATTATTGTTACAGTATCCCGGAAGAACACAGGCAGATCGTGAGCTAAATACAACTTCTGATAGTTGTCAAGTTTTCATGCTTGCAATCAAGCGTTCATGAGCAATTTTCACTTTTTCTAAAAAGTAAATAGCCAAATAATGCAACTAAGTAAGAAGTTACTGTGCCACTGAAAACATACATAGTAGCACTACAGTATGGCTCATACATGTGTAAGTAGGTGTTCATTAACAATGTACAAAGACCATTTAAGCAATTTTTGTCCCAGAAAAAATTCAAAGTTTTGTGTGGTTTACACAGCACATGAATTTATTATGCCTGGTTCTAAATAAGGTATTGTTCTGTCATCCTTTCAGTAGCTGTCACCATACATGATAAATTATACTATTTTGGAGAATCAGAACATGATGAAGAAATAGGATCTGTAAAGAAAACTGTTTCACTTTCTAGAAGTCAAGTTCCTTTTTATTCTCACCTCAGAGAGAACAGGGAAAGGAAACAAACAGTTTTGTCTTTCTAGGTGGGAAAACAGAAGAAATAGGTGGAGCAAACACATGAGAAACTATACTCTTTACGATTTGTGGGATTTTCCTCATGATGCTTTATTTCTATACATGACTTCTGATGGACAAATATACGGTGTATTTTCTGGTTAATGAAAACATGGGAAGGGATCTTAGATTATATTATTAAAGATGTCAACATAATGACCTACTTCATGGCAAGTTCTGGTATAGTATCCTTATATCAGTTCTCAGTTGTTCCAGTCAAGTAGTATATTAATTTTCTCTCTCTGCTGGACACTAGCAGCTTGTATAAAATGAGTTCACATTTAAAACACACATTACTCTTGAACATTTATGGGAATATTCAGAACCTAGTGACCAAACAAATATGAATAAAAGTGAATTTTCTCTCTTAAAAAATTGTAAGTAATGCTGAAGCCCTATGTCAGAGGCTGCGATGATTTTATTGCCAGCACAGGCCAGGTTTGTTCTTTGTAATTTAAAATGCAACAAGGAGGGGAAAAAAAAGGCATGAAAAGTTCAAAGTGCAAATAATCTTTGGTTTACTCATTAAGACAAAAGGACACAGCAAACAGCTAACAGCAAAACCACTGGCAATTAAATAAGCAGCAAATTCTTTATATGCTTCCTAACAAAAAGTCTTCAGGTGTTTGAAATGTATTAACTTCACGCTTCTAAGTACATTACAGTGTCTAGAAAGTCACATTTTTATCCCCAATGGCAAGGAAAGGAGAACATGAGGGAGAAAAGGAAAGATGAAAGGAAGGAGGGGAGAAAACAAGAAAACAAATTTATTAAAGATTCCATTTTTCCATTACTTAAATAGTATATCACAACGATAAAACTAAATTCTGTTTCTAGTTTCACTGTACAGAAAACAAATCAGCTTGGAATTTATTTTCAGATGATCAAGCTTTCTGAATTCCTATCATCATACACATCAGCCTAGTGTATAAAATACACCGATTCCCACCTTTTCAAAGAGAATTATGACCTACTAAGCTGGATTCTAAATATCTTAAGGACATGCACAGACAAGTCACTGTGTTTTACCTTATCACAGGCTGAGTTAAAATTATGTACCACAAGTGGTTTCTAGGGAATACTCTTCCCCAGTTAGGCTATGTTACTGTAGCTTATTCCTCAAATAATCCCCATATAATCAAAGGAAGCAAGCATCTGTGTGGGTCTATAAAGGTCAATATTTGGTAGCCTTACAGACAAAGTTTTCACCATTGATGAACAAGCCTGCTAGGACTCTGCGTGACAGCATCGCTGATATTACTGGAAACTGAATGCTTCATAAGGGCAGCATTAGGAAGCTCCGATCTGTGCAGAGAGCATAAAAGACTATAAATGAATCAAATATATATTTTACAAATAAAGAAACTATAGAGTGTACCAACACCATTATTGTCTGTTACCAACATTACTGGACTCTCACAGTTTGTTTAGAAGTAATTCTGTAAATCTATGAAAGATGTGGAATGTCTGACAGCATATTGTTTTGTGTCTCTATCTTGCAAGACTCTTACTCTGCTTGGACTGTTCTGTTTTATTTTCTTTATCCAGCTGTTTTCATAGGCAAAGCATAGTGAAAAAAAGCAATGTACTGTCTTTCTTCCAGATGGACTGTGAATACCAATAGATAGCTCATAATAAGGAATCAATTTCTTTTTAAGAAAGATATTTTCAAAACATTTGTCATAATGTAAAAAAACCCTTTTTAGCATGCTCCCTTATTCCTTCATAAATCAACAGTGTTCCATCTACAAATAACGCACAGGCAGTCAACTTTAATACAAGTACTTATATGTTGCCCTCATCTAGCATTTTGTTGACACCATCACAAAGTTTCTGCAAATGGAGTTTATAAGGTCCAAAGGGATTGTACAAGGCAGCCAAAAATTCACAATCAGAGAAGTGATCGAACACATTGTTGACGCGTCCATGTGACTTGGCAGTTAGGTGACGCTGAATGATTTCATGAAGCAGCTCTCTACAATCATTTAACAGTTTGGACAAAAAATTCCTGTCGAAGGTATAATCCACCTGATGGAAACTGACCACAGTCTTAGCCAGCTGATGAACTTTCTTCTTGAATTTCTCCATCAAGGCTATTTCATCCTGATTAAACTGGTTGTTCCTGTAGAGAATTGCCAACTTGAGGACTATTTTAATAAGGTTTTTGATGATTTTCTCAGCTTCCTTTTTATTTTGTGTATATTCCTTTGTCACTCTGTAGAGCTCATCTAAAACATCACTGCTTGTATCATCAATCAAAGTAGTTGCTATTGATTTGGACACCATTTTTCCAAGGATCTTCTTCTGGGCCTGAATGGCCAGACTTTTGGAGTTGAAGACATCTGTCGCCACTGGGAGGGGGAAAAAAAAACAAAAACAGTATGCGGTCAATTCTTCATAACAGACATGCTATGGACAGTAAGTTGAGGAATACTTCCATGTCTGTCCATTCATATTATTCTATTAACTGCCACAAAAATAATGTAAACTTATGTATGTAGTTGCAGAAAATCCCACCTCTTCAATCTGTAAAACCGTTGTCTTTAGGTTTACATTCTGTTAGACTACTTTGAGAAAACAAAAAGCGAGATGGAACTTACTCAAAAATGGTTTGAAATATCTGTGTATGGATTGATTTGGTTTTAAATTGAGGCAATAAACATGCCCTATTTGATGAGATGACCCGTAAGTCTGATGTGATTCTCACAGACACCAGGAAATCTGAAACCATGGCTACCCCAGTGTCATGGCAATCACCACTACCCCTCAGCGACAGTGGTTCAGTGAATGGAGTACTGGGAAACTTTGTACTGCTCAGCATTTTACATGACCAATGAATCCAGATCCCACACATCTATTATACTTCATACATATAAAAATTTAAACCAAACAAAAATCCTGTCAGCAAGCAATCCTGTGATTCTGTGGACGCAGTATGAAGAAGCTAGATTTAATAATGAAAGCAAGTGTAGATTAGTACTTCTATATCCTACAGTTAATGCAGAAAAAGCCAAAAATTATCAGCCTAGGGATTCCCAGAACGTTTGCTAGCATGACCTTAGAAATAAATCCTTCTACGGCCAATAAAATAGATCCTAGAACAGATTTCCACCTACAAAACTATGCTTATTTTCACCAATATACCCAATGACTGGCCTGTAATTTCTTCAATTAAAAGACCCCAGAGGCTCCTTCAGAAACTTGTTTTGTGAAATGTTGCCACTCTGTCTATTGCCAGTGACGACTATCAACCACACATTCCTTTTGCAGCACCTTCTCCAGGAGTTCACGTTTCCAGGTTGAATGGTCTGGGAGATGGCTGCCATTACACTGCAGCTTCCCTGCTGTCTCAGACAGGCTTTGCAAACACAGGGCCTGGAAACACTTCCCCCACCCTTTCTTTTACCAAAAACAAACTCTGCAGATGCCAAAAAGTAAGTCCCTGAATTTGAAAAAGTTTTCCTCTTAACTGTTTGCATTTGGGCAGCTGGGTGTGTTCAGATGCAGAGTGCCTCTGGGGTTCCAGCAAATAGAAAAAAATTTTCCTTCAGGACATGTGAGAACAGATCTGTATTTTTCTTCAAGGGTATGTTTGAGAAACTTAGTAACAAGCTCCTTTTATGTCACCTCAGAAGCTTTCAAGCACGTTTGTTTCTTAAGATTTTCAGTGCATACCTGTATTTTCCTTTGAATCATGAAGCATTTGAGTGCATTTTTAAAAATCTTTACTACACAAGGACACTCGAAAACCAAAGAACCCATTGTTAGCTATCTTGGGCAAAGCACTCCAGATCACAAGACAGACATGTTTCTCAACCACAATGAGACAGGAAGACATTAAAGATTCTAAGCCGTCAATCTGAACTGAAAATGTTTGATTCACTTTTTGTGTTTTTAAATATAAAACGGCGACTGTTACTCTTCAAGTAAAACTAATCAAAGCAAAAAAGGAGGTCAAATACTAGAACTCTACAGCCAGTGTTTTACCAAGTTTTACAGATGGAGAACAGCCTTTTCTTCCCAAACAGGAATATTGATTGTTCCTCCATAATTTTTATTTCTTAAAACCTCTCCGATTTACTAATTGCTCATTATGTCCTCTTTCTGACACTCCACAAAAATGTATCAACATTCGTACTAGTAGCAGCCACTGTTTCAAAGTACAGTCCTTAAATTCACTAAGAAAACCCTTCATAATACAATATATGTATTTTTACATGTTCTTTCCCAGCGTGCTGTAGGATTTTTTTTACAAAATGTTAACTATAGCAAACAGAATGCTCCACTGCAACGGAAGTCCATACAACCTGCCTCCTCCAGCAAGTCACACAAACACTCAGGTTATGATTCTAACAGTTTACACAAAGCAAAATATCAATTTCAAGAAACATAGCAGTTTTCTAAAACTTTTGCAGCTTTTCAATAAAAAAAAGACAAAACAAAACAAAAACCAAACCCAAACCTTTACATTATGTAACTTAACATATGACAAAGTAGAGCTCAACCTGTAACTACCATTGCTAAACAAAACAGGAATTGCTCACTTACAAGAGGTGTTAAACTCAGAATGCCATTTCTCTAAAAGCTGTCCCAAGTTTGGGCACTACTCAGCACAGCCTATTTTCTGCATACTTTACAAAACACCAGAAGTCAGGTTTATTTCCCCTGTGCTATTAGATGGGTTCTAAACTGATTGCTAGGTACAAAAAATATCCTACTTCAGTATTTTAGTCAATCCAAAAAGGAACTTGCAAACTGTTTATTTTATAATCTGAATTTTTCCTCATTACTGATGGCAGAAAGACCTAAAATGTACTTTACAGTCAACTGCTTAAATAAACCTGAGTTTAAGCAGTACAAATATAGACCTCCTTCAGACTGAAAACATGTACTTTCTTAAAAAACAGCAGAATTATTACTTACTTGTTCATCAAAGGGAGTTGTAGTTGTTAATGTTGACAGCAGAAAGAGAGGCAAAATATCCGAGGTGAAGACCGGCCTGAGGCTTATTTACTCCGCTAAACCCAGCACAGACTTTATCACACGCTCTGAAAGGCTGTCAGCAGCTGTCACAGAGCCAACACGCGTCTGCCCCCTCACCCTAACACCAGCTCTTCCCAGCCACCTTTCTCTCCTGCCCGCGGTGCTTCATTTTGCGCTGGCACCTCAGGATGCAAAAACACATCGCGGGGCTTTCACTTCCTCGAAGAGAGCTCTGAGAGGAAATTGCACTGCTGAGCAAGCAGCAACAGCCACCGCCGTTACTGCCACCCGGCAGACGGACAACGAGCAGGAGGGGAGGGAGAAGAGAGGTCCTGGGACTCGAAAGGGCAGGGGACACGTCAAGAGGAGGTTAAAGCATTAACCTGGTGTCTGCAGACCCAGACACTTGCGTGTATCAGAGATGCCTGATGGTGCTGGTGAGGGGTGGCCAATGGCTGCACGTCACCAATCCCCCGTGCCCAGTGCCAGGGCAGCCAAGTGTCGCCTTTCAAACCCCCGACCATAACTTCAGGTGCAAGCACCTAAAAGTAAGCCTGTAAACCCACATTCAGACAACTACTTAAGGCAGCCTCATTTTATTAGGGTTGATTGTACGTAGTCACCTTTTATGTATGGTCACAGTAGTTAACCAGCATGTATAAATCCCTGATGACATCTATTGTTCTGGCAAGTCCCACCCTTGCACTTTAAAATGCAGCAGTGCCATTTCACTGTTGGCCTGCAGTAGATCAAATTATTCAGGCAGGTAATCCAACTGATTTTAACCATCTCAGAGATAGCTCACGACTGCTCTTTATAGCTCCCGTTTCTTTCCTGTGCAGTTTTACACTTCACATTTTAGAAGTGTATCACCAAAAAATGCCCCTTTATTATCAATGGGATGTCGTTTTGTTTATAACTTATATGAATGAGCATGACTATGTTCAGTAGACCACCTCTCTGCAGAGGACAGACTCTCAGGTTAAATCCTGCCTCCATTATGTTAAAATCCACAGAATCTTAAGGATAATGGGTACATCTGCAAAGTCTTCTAATTTATGGTTTAGAAGAGCAAAGAAGCTGCTAGAGGCTGTCTCCTGTGAAAGCTGGGAGCTTACTAATTATGAAACTCTTCAATTTTTCTAAACCACAGTATGTGTGTTTAACATTAGTATTTTGTCCATTAAAGTCAAGAAACATTGGACATACAGTGGAAATTTAGAACTGTGGGTCAATAAGCTCTCAGAAGACTGAGGTAAAACCTCAAGATGGGTACTGCTTATGGCTGCAATACTGACTTTTCCCTGACATGGAAACTAGTACACCTCCCTCTGTACTGTGGCAAATAGTTATTACCAAATACCCTATTTCTCAACAACATTTAAACTGGAAAAAAAAAAAAAGTTGCATCAAATGATTTTACTGCCCTAAATCAATGTTTTTTCCACAAAATAACAGCTGATGCTAGATTCAGCATCACTTGCAGTTGAGTGTGTTCAATCTCACATACATTGACACCAAATACTTGAGTCACTGAGTATTTTAAGCTTCTTGTAATAATGAAGGACCAGGGAAAAAAAAAATTATAAAAACTGCCAGTGAACAATGTTAAATTCCACGGGCAAGCCAAGAGCTGAGCCTTCTGACACGAGATGCATTTCTAGCATACGTTTTCAGTATGTTGATAAAACAGTCCTGATGGAAGAGAATGTGACTGTGGAGCCACCAGGAACAACCCCGCTGTGTGAGGCCCTGTTCTCATTTTAGTGAGGCATGCCTTTGTACCTGGAGAGCACAAGGTCCAAAATTGACAGGTTTTTTTGGGCAAGGCACAAAGAAGACTTACAGAGGATTAGGAGGTAAGAGACAGCACCCACTGAGTGCTTCAGGCAGCATTTAAAAGACAGCATTACATAGTTTTGAGAAACGTGGCAACTGATTTTCTGCCAGGCTTCCTGTGTGGACAAGTGTGTTTGCCTCTCTACAGACTGAGGGTGAAAGCAAGACCTAAAAGCCTGCTCACAACGTACGAATTTCATGTTCAGTCAGACTCCTGGAATGAGAGACCATCATCCCTGTAGGAAGGCAACTTGAAATCAAGCAGGACTGCAGCACTACACTCTCCAACTGTATGTGACCATGAGTCACGCACCTCCAAAATTATGAGATCACCTAGATATCAAGGGATAGAAAAAATGACTAAATTTTTACTCCTTGTGCCTTCTGCTTTCTGGGTCTTCACGGAGCTCCCCTTGTTTTCAGAAATGACAAAGGCCAGACACATTGAAAAAATAAATACACTGAGGCACATAAATATAATACTTCATATATAAACACATGACTTCAGCAAGGTAAAGCTCCAA